AAAAAACAAGGACCAAGACTCACCTTTGGGCCTACTTGTAACTTCTACCTAGGAGATCAAGGTAAGAAGTCTTATCACTCTGGTTTAATAATAGTGCTTCTATTTTCTCTGACCTAGCTCATTGAAAAAAAGTAAAGTATTTTTCAGCAGAAAAAATGATTGTATGGTTCTGATTCCTGGATCTAAAGCCATGAACATTTGGAGGCAAAAGAAATCACAAAGCTCCAATTGAAGTATTCTAATTCTGTTGAAGATGATAATGCATACTTATATGGAACTGCTGAATTGTTAAAATGCTACTTAACATAGTTACTAAAATGAAGTACAGAATGTGATTTTTAAAAAAAAACTTTCAAAGACACACTATACTTTAGAGGTTTATCAAAATTAACAAGAGCTGGAAAAAGTGCATCAAAATCATATGAAAAGGCACTGATGGAGCTTTGTCAAATTTGAAAAACAAAAGAGGAAAATGTAAATTCTGTACTTCCAAGTCTCATTCTAGCTAAATATATACTAGAACTGTAGCTAAAAGGAGGTATGTTTCTTTGCATGAGACAGAGGAGGGTGGGAGAAGAGGAAAGGAAAGACAAGACAGCATGACACAAGACAAGACATATTTGGAGCTTGGTTGTGTACAGTGCAGGAGCTAAAAAAATATACAAATATCCTTGTTTCCCTTTGTCACATGTCCTATCAGGGCAAAATCATTCCCAGCTAGGAACTACTGGCATGTTTTGGCAAATGTGTAAAGAACTTTTGTAACGTACTTTTAAAATGATGGTGATATTTTTTAGGTCTATGTGGCTCATCTTTCATGCTATTGGCATTCTTTATGGCAATCATTAAACCAATGGAGAGAATCAGCAATGTAAAGCTTGATTCTTTAAATTCAAGCAATTTCTTTCTTATTTTACCACCCTCCCTACTTTGAAAGTACTACTGCATGTTTTCACTTCCAATGGGAAGAAAAGTCTCCCACTTAAGGAAAATGGAAGACAGGAACTACTTGGTGGCTTGAATGTGTAAAATCGCCAAGATGCAGTGTGGCAGTAAAAGTTAAACTGATGCACTATTCCTTCAAGTTCATTTTAGAACAATGCTCTTAGGAAAAAATAACCAATCAACAACAAAGCCTACAAAATGAAAATCCCCAGTGCCCCTATGAAAAAGCCTGTGTCCAATCCTAAATTGGTACAGTAGCATTATGCCTCTGCCTACCTGCCATTTTCTTTAAATGGTGTTCTAATAAATCTTTGTCTTCCTATTCTGTCTCAGTAAATTCTTTTGTCAATGAGGACTCCAAAAATCGATGAAATTTTGGTGGCATGTACAGGGAGACTTGAAAGAATTCCTTCCTTTTCAAATCAAGACTTCTGGTAGTAGTGCACTCAGAGTTTAAGAGACAACTGTGAGTCTCTGGCCATGGTGACTCCCTCATAAAACCCAAAACCTTCCTCCTGTCAAGTGTCTGGATCCCATTGCCCTTAGGTATGAAGTCATTCATCCGAGACTTACATAGATTCTACTTCCTCTATGTTGTGGGTCTCTGGACAGGGTAACTCTATGGTGAAACTCACATCTTCTTACATTCAGTTCACAAAAGTTAAGGGTCTGCCTGTTCTCTCCATTTCCAGCATCCACTTCCAGCACAGCAAAGAACACTACTTCTCTCCTAATATTTTGACTTATACATTTTTTTATAGACTCTTCTGGTCACATCATCTTTGCCCTGCAGAAGGATTTATTCTGCACTGTGGAATAAATCTTGGTGTCAGAGCTAAGTTAGGTCTAGTTAGGTCTGATCAGGACTTGCACATTGACTTTAGTTTTTTGGATCCCTGCAACCCTATAAGTAGCAAAACAGACCTACAGGAGGGATGTTCAATGTGTCTGGCCCTGTTCTCTGAAACTGATAATTCCCTGGATCTTCTAGATGATCCCCTGCAATCTGTACCACCTATATGATCCAAACCAGCTTCCAGCTCTCCGACATCCACTACCTCAAAGGCATCCAGCCTTAGAGCAGCCTTCCTTCTCCCAGTTCCACAGAGGCACTTGCCCTTCCTGTAAGTCCTTTTCTTTCCAGTTCCTCCTGGTCATTTAGATAACCCCAGTATTCTATCTCCTTCATATATCAGGTTGGAAAATAATTTAATGTCTACATTTAAAACTCCAGAGGGAGAGGGTGACATTGTCCAAAAAGAAATGTACTCTTTACCTGGCTCATGTAACTGTAACCCCTTTGTACATCATCTTTATAATAATAAAAATAAAACTCTAAAGGGAGTTTGTGGATCCTCTCCTGAATTTTAAAACTATATTTTCTCAAGAAAGCAAACATATATCCTTTCTTTTCTGCTCTGAAAAACTCTCATACTGACTCTACTGCTTGTAACGGAATAGACTTTGCCCGATTAAAAACTGTTAATAATGGTAGTCTTTAGACTATGTTCTTATTTGTAACAAGGAAAAAAGATAAATAAACTTACTGTACTCCATGAAAGCCCAGCTTAAGACCATTCCCTCTTTTGTGTGTCAGGACTGGGGCTTGAATTCAAGGCCTCAGGCTCTCACTTGGCTTTGGCACTCATAGCTGGCACTCTACTATTGAGCCATACTCCCAGTCAGCAATGTTGATGATTAGCTGGAGATGAAGTGTTGAGACTATTTCTGCACAGGCTGGCAGAAGAACTCAGTCTTCTGAGTTGCTACAATTAGGGGTGTGAGACACTGGTGTCCAGCTAAGATCATTCCTTAAATCTCACAAAAGAGTCTAGACTGGCACTGATTCCCACCTGACCTATCATTTCCCTCCAATATGAGACCAGACCAAAAGGGTTTGAAAGACTTGGGACAAAGTTCATCCTGGAGATAAGGAATCATTCAAAAACCAAAAGCTAGAAAAAAGTTGTTCAAACAAAAAGGAATAGTGTCAGAATCCAAAGGGAGTCCCTTGTGCCTTCCAAAGTATCTTCAGCCAAGACTTTGTAATTTCATAAGAATAGTTATATGACAGCAAAGCCATGTCTGTTTACTTTTCGGCTGGATATGGAGTTGTACCACAGCCATTCTATCTTTGGCATTTCTAGAGCTGCAAATAATCTGGATACTTCTCCTTTTATATGGGCATCTGTAACCCTTAAAAACAGGAGTATCCAACTCAGACCTCTGCCACAGGCTCCAGAATTATTTCAGGTATAGGGTCAGAGACTGAAAAGATATCTCTTCAGTCCTGATTTTTGTTTCTCTTATTATCCTGACGACAAATTCTTTTACCAAACTGTGGCTCCAAAACTCCATGACACCCACCATTCTCATGTATGATCACAAAGTCATTCTAGATTTCTTCAACAATTTTAACTCTTCGTTTATTGCTTAATTTAACCACTCAAGATTTTACTTGAACAGAAAAGAAGAACAGGAAAATTTCATCCAATTTTCTCAGTTTAAAAACAAGATAGATATAAATCTAAAATACTACATTAAAAGGTTTTAAATAAAGGCTAGAACATTGCTAGAAGGAGGTGAAAAATAAAATAAGAAGATGGAGTTTAATTTAAAGGCTGAAAAATAAAGAATGTTCAGAGTGGTCTACATACACATAAATCCAGACTGAAAACATGGGTGGACTTACTGAGCAACATGTATAGAAATAATCCCTTGAGAAAAAGCTTACTATTTTAAGGGTATTAAATGGAACCATCATTTCTCTTATACTATAAAAAAGTTAAACACAGCAGAACAGAGGAAAAGTCATTCTCATGTCACTTATTCCAATGTAAGACAATTTGTAAGTGCTTAAAACTTATCTAAAAAGATCAATGTGAAACAGTTCTATTTCTTTTATAACTTACTTTAAGCAAGGAACATTGTCACGAAGCCCATCAGATGAACTGCTACTGGTGGATGGATGAGACTGAGGGGGAATGGGTTGTGGATTGGAACCTCCTACAGGCGTCGACAAGGGTGGTGGCTGCTCACTCTCTGGAGTTTCCACATCATTTATTTCATACAACAATCGAACCTCAAGCATCTGTCATAAAAGTAATTACTATAGTCATCTTATCTTCCTAAAGATAAAAATTTAGCATGGGGACTGGGAAGGTGGCTCAGTGGTAGAGCGCTTGCCCTGCATGCATGAGGCCCTGGGTTCGATTCCTCAGCACCACATAAGCAGAAAAAAAAAAAAAGCTGGAAGTGGTACTATGGCTCAAGTGGTAGGGTGCTAGCCTTGAGCTGAAGAGCTGAGGGACAGTGCCCAGGCCCAGAGTTTTTTTTCAGGCCCCACAACTGGACCCCCAAAAATAAGAAAAAAAAATTTATCATGATTTCTAGAGTTAAAAGCAAAAAGTTTCTGATTCAGCTTTTTAAAAAATAAAGCATAAATTAAAAAAATAAAGCATAAAGGATTTTACAATTTAAACAACACCATATTAGCAAATACACATACTAGTGTTAGTTTTTCTTAAATACATAATATACTTAACAACTGAAATATCCACTTCACATATATTCCTCAAATACTATTTTTCTTTCTGTTTTATTAGCATACATTATTTATACAAGGAGGATTTCAGGGTGATATTTCCCCACTAGTATGTATATTTTTATAAAAGATATAAATATGAAGATATTTACAAAATACTAGGAAAAAAACAATTGACAAATTAAAAAATATCAGACTGTTGACATGGAAAGCAATTTAAAAGACTAATAATACCAGAAAGACTTCAGTAACAAAATACTAGGAAAAAACAATTGACAAATTAAAAAATATCAGACTGTTGACATGGTAAGCAATTTGAAAGACTAATAATACCGGAATGACTTCAGTAATCACTTCCTGTTTGCTGAATCTATAAATAATGACATGAGCTGAAACTCCAGCTATGCACAGCATTCTACTCTCTGGGCACCAGGAGATGATCTGAATGGCATACGGATCTTCATCAACAATGTCTGTGCTTGGTTTGTCTTCTTTATTTCTTGACTTTTCAAATACTTTAGATGTTTTTAATTTATATAGTACTTGTAAAGTTACTAGAAAAAAGATGATATCCTGTTACACATTTTACTATAAAGGATCAATTAGTTAAATCAGTAATACATATAAGGTATCATAAATAAATGGACGATAATGAATATTTGTCATATATAAAAGTCACTCTCTCCTTCCTTTTTTGATATTATGAAATTGCTACATATATTTCACAAAGACAATGCAAACATCTGTATGTCTAAACTTATGTCAATATATATTTATATTAATTTGAAATACATGCTTCTGTTTCTGATATTGAAGAGAAGGTTTGAAGATATTTTGGAGAAAGCACTAGAATACATCCATTGAGAAATATTCTTGATTCACTAATAACTTCAAAAGTATCATTATTCTTAAAACTGGAAACATATAACTTGACAAATTAGTAAATTAAATTTATAGTCTACAAATTTCAATAACATATACTATAAATTATTATAAAACAGCTAATGCTAGTTAATTATTATAAAACAGGACCTAACAAAGGGATGACCTATGACAATATGACAAATACTCAGAACACTTACTTGCAGAAGCATCCCAGAATTTAACTGACCCGTCAGCATGCCTATAAAAAACAAAGGGAACGAAAATGTGAAGGAAAGGATAAAAAAAAAATACTTTTTCTTTTTCTTGCAAATATATTCTTATTTTAAAAGATAGTCACCAAGATGAGTAAAGGTAAACATTGAGTAAATGGACAGATACCTGACAATGTTATTTACTATACTGTAACAAAACAAAAAGCTCTACCTGCCAAAGTAACTAAACCTCGTGTAATCTTGATTACACTTAGCTACTAGTCATTTATTTGGTGAAAACAGACATATACTTACCCTGTAATAATTATTTCTGGGTAACTTTGAGCACCCAAGCCCCAGTTACCTCCATTAATGGGCCATTCCTTAAAAAAAAAAAAAAGTCACTGTATAAAGCCACTTGTAAGCATGTTCTGTGTATTTTCATGCACATTTAACATGTACTGTTATATAATATACAACTGAAGACAGAAAACATATTTTACTTCCAAAAATGATTATCTTATCCCTTTTTCCATACCTCAAGGTTTTAAATTTAAAATACTGAAATGTCACATTAAGTATTGAAAGTCCTGTTAATACCTTTTTGCTGTAACCTTGACGTTTCTGTCTAGCGCCAACAGAATAAAGTGCAGGAATAAGGTCCACAGGACAGTCAGCAAAATATTCGCAACATGTAACAGGGGATTCGTGTATACTCAAAGGGTAAGGATTTTCAAATATAGGATATCTTTAATAACAGGAAAAAGAAAAACATTATTTAATGAGCAATAACTTGTAATTAACATGACATGAAAAAATTTACAAATATACATTCTGCTACAAAGATTTAGATTATGTAAACAAGTTTTTTAAAAATAAAAGATGCTCAGTTACAACAATAAATTAATAAACTAGTTGCAGCTATATACCACATGTCCAATACTAAGAAGGGTAGGAAGCCTCTGGCTTTTGAGCCACATAATGCCTGAGAAATCATTCAGTACAGGAAGGACAGACACACAGGCTCTATAAATGCTTCTCAATGGCTGCCCATGGTTATCTGCCCATATCCATGTCCATGAATGATATTAAAAATATCCTAATGGCCCTTGGCAGATGAAAAGGTTTCCTCCTCACAAGGATTATCTATCTTTTTCTCATTTACTTACTGTACCAAACTTATAATAATGTAAGCATTTTCTTAAGGACAAACACTTAGAAAGTAACGTGCCAAAGGTATGCCAGAAAGTACTTGTAGAAGAATTTAAGCTCTGTTCTTAGTCATTAAGTTATATAGTTTTCAATAAACCAATACCTACTTATATCAGCCAATACAGATTTTCAGTTTTATCACCAACAATATATGTAATCTAATATTAAAACCAATATTATCTGATAAAATTAATCTTGACTGTCACCTTGATTGGATTTAGAGATAGATGCCTAGGAGAACAGGCACCCTTGGGTGGCTCTGTGAGTGGGTTTGTCCCTAAGATCATCAAGGAAGGAAAGACTTGCCCTGAATATGGGTGGCTGGAAGCTGGAATGGTAGTAAGTGGTGAAGAAGGAAAACCTGTAGTATAGGGATTATTACTCTTCACTGCTTCCTAGCTGCTAAGCAGTGAGCAGCCTCTGCTGCTCTATACACTCCCCATCACAAAGCTCTCCCTCACCACCGAAACCTCTAAAACTGTGAGCCAAAACCAATCTTCCCTCCCTTAAGCTGTTTCTCTTAGGTATTTGTCACAGCAACAAAAACTGACTAATACGTCTTAGTTTAATAACCATCTAAAATGTCAATGCACTTTAAAGTTTTCTAGATGTGAAATTATCTAATTCAATAAAGCAAAAATCCTTTCAAAAATCATAAAATTATGGATCAAGAAAATGTGGTATATATATATATATATATATATATATATATATATATATATATGTATACCCACAGATGTGTATGTGTATATATATATACATACACAATGGAATTCTATGCCTCCATCAGAAAGAATGATACCACCCATTTGTTAGGAAATGGAAAGACTTGGAAAAAATTATATTAAGTGAAGTAAGCCAGGCCCAAAGAAACACAGGTTCCATGGCTTCCCTTATTTGCAATAACTAGTATATGTCTGGGACAAGTAGAAAAGGTCAAAAGCTATGTACATATGACCAGATAAGATGAAGTTAAGCGAAATGAACCCCAGGATAGGGGCACAAGTCGTTTTTTCTTTCTTCCTATTGTTTCTAACATATTTAAAAGGTACCATATGATTTTATTTTTTTGCTTTGTATGTCCCTCCCCCATGGTTGTATAACCCCTGTTTTCATTGTATTTAATGTCAGTATAATTTGGGGAGGGGAAGGGAAAAAACAAAATGTTTAAATAGGAATACAGGTTGACCCACTACAACAATGAGATGTAGAAGACATTATGTTGAAAAACAAACTTTACAATTTAGGCGGGGGTGAGGGGAGTGGGGAGGGTGGAGTTTTGTGGAGGTGGGAGGGAAGGGATGGTAGGGGAAAAACAAAGGAGGAGGCAACAATGCTTGATAGGAAATGTACTCATTATCTTGCTCATGTAACTGTAACCCCTTTGTACAGTATTTTCATAATAAAAAACATTAAAAAATCATAAAATTAAAGCAAAAGCCTATCTAAACACACAGTAACAGTTCTTAGAATGAAGAATAATCACTTAAAAATTTCTAGAAAACAGGAACTAGCTAAAAATCTTTTAAAAATACAAAATGGTTATTCTGTAAAATATAGGAATACTGATTAGGTTTTCCGTAACAGTGATTTAAAGGAAGTTGGAAATACTTTAAGAAAAGCCCTTTATAGATCACCAAAGAAACTCAACAACTGCCATCCTTATCCTCAAACAGAGGGCAAAACACAAACCAAAATGTGCAGTAACAAAGTCAGGCAACTTTCTTCTATTTGTAGGACAAATCTTTGTTTAGTTCAATGACTCTACTGTACATTTAACTAATACTTTCCTTAAATAAAATGACCTATCACATTACTTTGACAGTATTATTTTTGACTCAGATATATATTTTAGTGCAGACTACATGTAAAAAGACTCAACTAGTTCCTATGGGAGTAGAATAACAAAATCCTATAAATAATAAATTATTCTAACTTATTATCAGGAAAAAACAACAAATGCTAGCAAGGATGTGGGGAAAAAGGAATCTCAAACAAAAACTGTTTAGAATCTGCCCAGATGCCCATAAACTGTTGGATGGATACAGAATGTTTTCAGCCATAAAGACTAAAATTATACATCCCCAAGAAAATTGATTGACCTAAAGATAATCATGTTAAGTGCAATAAACCATACTCAGAAAGAAGGTATCACATGTTTCTCTCATATGTGGAATCTAGATATAAAGGAGGGAAAAAGAGATTACCATAAAATAGGGGAACATTTTGGGTGGGGAAGCCCATGACTGGTAAGAATTATGTAAGTATAAAATGTGATATCTCTTTAACTCTCTGCGAAGTTTTCAGTTTTCCTATGAAGTAATGTCACTATAGGAAGAGGCCAGGTTAGCAGGTATCACTTTTTTTTTTTAAAGTATCACTTTTTGAAGTAACAAGCTGAAAAAAACAAATGAAAAAAAAAATCCAAGAGCAAATGATAGCTTAAACAGAAGTGTAACAAGATTAGTGATGCTTGTAATAATTAATGAGTCAATGGTATATAAAACACACTGCACCCAAAAGGAAACAGAAATAGAGAGACTAAAAGGTTAATTATTAATAAATTGTGATGAATCAATTTTAGACAGGCTGATTTTGTGCATTCAGGACAAGGAAGTATGAGGCTGAAATATGAAATGTCAGAAATTCAACAAAATTTGACTTTAAAAGAATGTAAATTATAAACAGGTAAAAGGATGGGGGTCTGGGGTTTTAGTAGACAGCAAAGTTGTAGATATAAATACAATACTAAAAGAAACAAATAGTTAATCTTACACTAAAAGAGATCTTTTCCACTACATGGAATTGTTCACCCAATGATCTTACCCATTCTGTGCAAGGTCTATTAGTACTAAATCCTTTTCTAGAAGAACAACAACAGCATATGGTTCTTGGAAATCTATAAAAGGAAACAATGCACAAACTAAAGTTTTAGTATGCAAGAGGACAACAGGATACAAAGCAAAAATTTGCTAATTGGTTTTAATTTTATTCATTCTCAAGTATTGAGCATTCTGGTTCTGTATTTCAAGTAAGTTTTTCATTAAATAAATCTACACTTATATGTGATATTAAACATAAAGTTTATTAATCAAAACAAACTGATGAAATAAAATCTGCAGTCTAAGGTAGCAGCTCTTTTCTAAAAGAATTAGCACAATAGGATAAGGAAACTACTTTAGGCAACTGAGGTCTTTGTTTTAAATACCATTGGTCATGGAGAATGAGATTAAAAGACACAAAGCTTACCATTGGGGTATGGAGTTTCACAGAGTGTTAGGAAATCAACAATTGAATAGTCCATTTCCAGCACAGCTGTACTTTTCCCATGCATCACTGTTAAGCAAGGTCTTCTTCCTACAGTATCATATGATAAACCTCCTGATAAAATAATAAAAGGTTCCCTGAAAATAAAATGCAGTTAGGATTATAAAATAGCAAAAAGATTATTTTTTGATGTATCATAATTTTATATAGTGAAACAATGAAATCTTAAATCTAAAAGTTTTACACACTTTACAGTTGAATAATCCCATATGGAATTTCTAATTGGATTAAATAAAATCCAAGTAAATTACTTCAAAATTAAGCAGCAATAAAAATGATAGGTGACCCAATTTGACCCTCAGACTTCCTCTTGGTCCCTATCACTTTTTCTTTCATTCCCTGCAGAAAAGTCATAAAATTTTTCCCTGGGTTTATGCAGTTTGGGTTGAATGCATGGCTTTTACTCTAGCCCTATCCAGGACTAGTCAACAAAGCTCACAGAAAATATCTTAATGTCTTCAAGCATCTATTAAATGTAATGCACTGACTTTTCATGATACATCAAGAAACGCTCTAGCTACAGATCACTTCTAACAACTGAGCAAAGGGCCACTAAAGTAATTTCCTACCAACCTGAAAACTTTTTTTTTCCCAAGTATTTTGGCAGATATACTATCAAAACCTAACTTCTTTGAACCAGGACAAGACTCAATAAAGCTAAGGAGAATCAAATAATAAAGCCAATCCAAGAAATGACACTTTGCCTTAAAAGTTATAATCAATAAATCCCTTGGATTTCAGTGAAAATCCTAGAAGAATATGGGACCTCATTAGTATTTCTATGATATACATTTTTTCTACATATATTGGGAAATGAGGATTTACTAAACTGTCAATCTCATATATCAGTGTCTACATTACTGCTTGTATTAGTAATCTTCTGAACATTCAGCATTTTTTTCAGACAAAAAAATACAATTTGCTAGTAGCTCATGCCTGTAATCCTAGCTACTTAAGAGGCTGAGATCTGAGAATCATGGTTCAAAGCCAGCCTGGTCAGGAAAGTCCATGAGACTCTTATCTCCAACTAACCACCAGAAAACCAGAAGTGGTGCTGTGGCTCAAGTGGTAGGGCATTTGCCTTGAGCTAAAGAGCTGAGGGACAGCGCCCAGGCCCAGAGCTTAAGCCCCACAACTGCCAAAAATAACCTCAAAAAACAAAAAGCAATTCAATTTCAGAGACAGAAACACAATTTTGACAAATTTCTAATGTAAATAATAACTAATTTGAAATCTATGCTCTCATAGTAGGCATCAAATGGATAATTTTTTGACAAGATAAAGCTTATTTTGCTGATTATATGTCAAGTTCAATAGGTGCCTGTACATTCATGATTCTATCATTTGTGTAAGTGTCCCTGAGTCCCATGTGTTGAAGGCTCAGTACCCAGCCTACAGTACCATAAAGGAAGTAATGGAGCCTTCAAGAGCTAGGGCCTAGTGGGAAGCAGTGCAGTCAGGGACAGGAGACGTTGGGACCACAACACCTTCTCTTCCCTCTTCATTTCCTTATGAAATGAGCAGCTTCCTCTGCCATGCACTCTCAACCAAGATATATGGTGAGGGCATAGATAACTGTATGCAAATGCATGTATACATGCATATGTATAGATGTATACATGTGTGATGGGTATACACACACATGTTGGGGACATAGGCTGTGAAACATAGGCCAACTGACTATGGGCTAAAATCTCAACACTGTGAGGAAAGAGAAACCTTTCTTCTTTATAAAGATGGGATTTTTCTTTTTTCTATTTTTTTTGTTATTTCTTCAGGGATTTTAGGAAATTGTCAGAACACTGACTAAAACAATTGGTTAGAATGAAAAGTAAACTGAAAATTATTAATGAATTTTTTTACTAGGCTTTTGGAGCTGTCATATAAAAATAGGATTACCAAAAACAGCAGCTAAACAAAACTGATCCTAATTTAAGGACCAGGGGAAAAAATGATATTTTAAACACTGAGGGATGAATTAAAAACATTCTTCTAGTGATCACAATTTGAGAGCCACTTCCCTACACTATATAAGTTCACACAGATTTTGTCTAGGTAATAACAGAAATTAAAAAATAAAGTTTCTTTGAAGGTTAAAGAGATGTAGAACTTTTAAAGAAGAATTTAAAAAGTTACATTTTATATATTTTATACTTAAATATAACATTGGGTACACACAAAATATTTTATTTACATTGTAAAAACTATCTCATTCTCATACCTAATTCATATAGTTACAGTATCTTCAAATGACTGACAACCTCTGGTTACATTAAACTGCATTTACTTTAGTGACCACCAAGTAGTCTTATGGGGTTTACTTGCTAAAGAATAAACCTTTCAGAAGTAACATATATAGGTAAATCAAGTTATAAATCTTCTTCCCTTCACTGCTTATACTGTTTTTCAACAGGAAATAAAAATTATTGTTTCTAAAATTTAACAAAATATATGAAGTTTGACAAGAAGAATAATTATAACTTTCCAAGACTACTAAAACCAGGAAAAAAGTATTTCATCCTGTTATTGATTTTTTGTTATTTTGTTTAAAATAAAAATGTGATAAAACTCAAGACTAGAGCAGGCCATTTTAAAGTAGGTCTTCAAAACTAATAGTAAAATGCTATTTGAGTAATTACAAACAACAATATTGGCAATGAAAGAAAATCTTACCCAGATCTAGTTGTCTTGAATTCCACCTTGAGGATAGGTTTGCATGGCTCTGGCTTCTTCCCATCCTTTAACTGCTTTCCTAAAATATATTTTCTTGCATTAAATTCTAAAATACTAAGTCACTTTACATTCTTATATCAATTGTGCACATAAAGTGAAATGAAATTGAGTAAAATATACCAACCTTTATGCATCAGAAACTCATTTAGATTTTTAATGATTTAAGTAATACATTTCTAAAGGTTCATAATAGAAACTATAGGAAACTAACATAAAAGAACAGCTTGCTTTAGAGATTTATTACTCTCAATACTGTTATATGTATTTATCCTGGCAAGTCACAAAATTTGGAGATACTTTGAGAATCCCCAACATACACCTGTCCTCTCTCATGGATTTATTTCTTCTTCACAGCATATATTACATTCTAATATCCTTTACAGCTCAGTTATTGTTTATTGTTTGGGTTTGCTTTCTAGGAAAGCAAAGTTTTTCACACACATGTATGTGTGTTCTGTTTTAAATGTCATGGTAAACACTCTTAGTATATAGAGTGGCATCTAATAATTAATGAGTGAATAAATTAATGGCTATTTCTGTGAGATAATGCAGAGAAAAAGTTATCTGGGAAAAACTATTCCAGAAAGGTTGTGCCAATTGGAAATTCCATCAGCGTCTAAAAGGTCGATTTGCGAAGGGCAAAACGTGACAATTCAGAACATACATGTACCTAATATAAAGCATCAAAACATATAAAGCAAAAGCTGATGAAAAATAAGGAGAAAATAGACAGTTCAACAGCACTTGTTAGAAACTAAGAATTCACTTTCAATAACGTAGGAAACTGAACAGAAGATCCACAAAGAAACCCAAGTTTCAACAACTTTAGACGTAATAAACATCTATTCTATTTTAGTATAGATAAAACATTTTGGGTAGACCATATGTTAGATCATAAAATATATCTCAATAAATTTTAAAGAATATATATAAAAACAAATGTGCCAATCAAATTAGAATGAAGTTAGGAATGCAGAGTGGAAAAAATGGGAGATACTAAAAAAAAGTGAAAATTACACATTATTAAATCGCCAGTGGATTAAAAGACAGTATCAAGAGAAAATCAGAAGACCCTTTGAAATGGAATAATATAAGTGGCAAATATTTATTTATGGCAATTGCTCAGGAAACAAGGAACTAAGACTCAAAACTGCAGAACCAGAAACAAAATTACAAAAGAATCTATGAACAACTGTGTGTTAACCAAAGGGATACCTTAGAAGAAAAGAACAAAATAATAGAAAAACATTATTACTGAACCAATTCAAGAAGAAACAAACAATCTGAAAGAAATATAAGGAGACAAAACAAAACAAAAACACTACCCTCAAAGAAAAGCCCAAACTTAGATGGCTCGACTGCTGATTATGAAGGAGACAACTTTGTACAATAAAGCACCTGTACTCCTATATATTTACTCCATAGAAAGGAAAGGATTTATTCTTAGGGAATATATACACGGACAGTACTGTAGCATAATTTTCAGTGATTAAAAAAGCCAGAGACAAAGTGAATACCAGTAATTTGCAAAAGGTAAGTATTGAAACAAATCACCAGCTATTAAATCATTAAAACAACAGAACTAGAGCTACACCAGGGGACCTGAAGGGGCTTTCTTAAAATATAGTGGACCCAGAAGAGTAGGATGAAAAAAAATTCTCTAATTTTATAAAACAATGATCATAAAAACAAATCTCATGTTTACATGTGTATATTAAAACATACTAATTTTAGAAATCTATACATTTTGAAAGAACATCTATAAATTCTGCCCTAACTTACACTGGTAGGTCCCAGGAGAAGAGACTGCCTATTTTTTCAGTTGTTCATATTTGTTTTATGGTTTTGTTATATTTAATTAATTTCTGATTAATATTTTGCACGGAGAATGTATCTCTGCTCTAATTAATAAACTAGAATGTATCTCTGCTCTAATTAATAAACTAGCTATCACTTGAATAGGACTTTAAAGTCTGCAGTATAACTGTGGACAATAAAAGGAACACATTGAAGAACATAGTCTGAGTTCTTACACAATTATCCAGTTACCAGCACTATTTATGGAACCATCATTGTTTCTCTATTGATATGAAATGTGACCTTTATTATGTGAATTTTTAAAAATAAATTAATGTCCATAAACCATGATGGAACATCTAATCTTGTCTTGATATAAGATTATTGCTTCTCCTTCTTACAAGAAATGATAGTAAAGTGGAATCTTGAACCTTTGGTAGCCCAATTTTTAAGAACCAAGAAGTAGGGAAGGTAGAACCAGATCAAAGAATTAGAAACAAAGGCAATGGGTGTCACAGGAAGGGGCCACAGAGGAGGACTGCATGGTTGACATGGAAGGGAGAAATCAGAAAAAAAGAAAGATACAGGAAAGGGAAGCTTAAATCTGAAAAGTTGTCTCCTGTTTTTCAAGAAACAATGAATTTCAATCTTTTTCCATCTGTTAAGAGACAATAGAACTTTTAGAAAGAATTTTCCTTCCTCTTCCATGCACAACTCTAATGGAAGTGCTAATGTGGTATAATTCAGCATTACAGATCCCAGCTTTATACTTATCTTCAAAATTATTTTGTTATATGAGTTCTTTTATAAGGCAAATCAATTATTCAGATATTCAGTTATCAATTATTCAGATATATAAGTATTCAGTCCTTTAACTTATTTCAGTATTCAATACAGTCTTTCAGAGGCTGGAACAATTTCTAAAGGAAGTCACAGGATGGTATATATAAATAGATCTTGCATAAAAACAAGTAAAGTATAAAATCCCTCTTATCTTATTCAACAGCCCTTCAGAAGGAATGGCTTGAACTCAGCTTGGGTGCTGTCCCTGAGCTTCTTTTGCTCAAATCTAGTGCTCTACCACTTGAATCATAGCTCTGCTTCAGCTTTTTGGTGGTTAATTGGAGATAATTCACATATTTTCTTACCAAGGCTGATTTTGAACCTCACTCCTCAGTTCTCGGCATCCTGAGTACCAAGAATTACACGTGAGCCACTGGTACACAGCTTGTCTCTTGTTCAATAGTCTTTCACAGTGTTTGCATCGCGTTGTAGCATCCCTGGCTTACAATAAACTACAATAAACTGTTGATACCCTTTAAGTTAGTTTTTCTTTTTTTCTCCCTGCAAGTATTTTAAATAGAATATTCTCCTTATCTGTATAAATAAAAATTAGTGATTTTTTTTTTTTTTGTCAGTCATGGGGCCTGAACTCTGGGCCTGGGCACTGTGCCTCAGCTCTGTAGCTTTACCACTTGAGCCACAGCACCACTTCTGGCTTTTTCTGCTTATGTGGTGCTGAGGAATCGAACCCAGGGCCTCATGCATGCAAGGTAAGCACGCTACCACTGCATCACCTTCCCAGCCCCTTGATGTTTTTACAGTGATGATTCTTTATTAATTGTACTTAGAACCAGTAAGTTCTTTTGATGTGCATATTCTGATATTCTTTTCCAACTTCAGTGTTATTGATTACTGCTTGATACAAGTTATTCATCTGTAATGTTACACTAATTATTTTCTAACTAGAACTAATAAAGCTATTAGTGATGATTTTATACAGCACATCTAAAGAACATTTAGAGAAGCACCAGATTTTACCACTAGATGTCATCTTACTTCTTCATACTTTGCTACTTCAAGAACAAGTCCCTTTAAATTGCCATGACAAATCACTGAGAACACCTTACTAATGATAAAACTTGGCTTAACAAATCACATAAGCCTCTATGCCACATCTGCTTTCTTAATGATGTTTACCATTACTGTTTTCCCATTGTTTTTCAGTATTCAGGTATACTGAACTGCTCAAAATCCTGCTGACACAAATTCCAGAATTTCATTCAAGCATATCCTCTCTTCCTATTTCCAGTCATAATTGAAATTGCCATATGCTATTAATGCCATGGCTTCCTATCTAGCCATCCTCTTTTGCTTAAGGTCATCTGATACACCACTATTAGCCTTTTTGAGATATAATTTTTGAGATATAATTTTTCACAGCCAACTCATTTACTAGATGTCCAACATAAAGTGGACATTGTGTGTGTGTGTTAATGCATATGCACACACACGAACCAGTCCTGGTGCTTGAACTCAGAACCAAACTTCTTTTGCTCAAGGCTAGCACTCTACCACTTGAGTACTACTACTGGCTTTTTTCGGGGGATAGGGTAGTTTATTGGAGATAAGAGTCTCAAGGACTTCCTGCCTGGGCTTGCTTCAAACAGTGATCCTTAGATCTCAGCCTCCTTGATAGCTAGGATTACAGGTGTGGCCATGGGTACCTGGATGAAGTTCATACTGTTTTTTTTTTTTGTTGTTGTTTTGTTTTTGTTTTTGTTGATTGTGGGGCCTGAACTTGGCCTGGACGCTGTCCCTCAGCTCTTCAGCTCAAGGGTAGCGCTGTACCACTTAGCCACAGGGCCACTTCCGGTTATTTCTGCTTATGTGGTGCTGAGGAATGGAACCAAGGACCTCTTGCATGCAGGACAAGTACTCTATCACTATTTTTTTTAGCATACTCTGATAAATAATCTTGCCTCTGGTACATGGCTCTGCTTTCATTTCTTGTTACTTTCCCAAAAGAAATTTAAATTCTATTATTCACTACTAGTAGTTTCCCTTAAACACCCTTAAAAAATTTTTTTTATTGTGAAAATACCATACAGAGGGGTTACAATAACATGGGCAAGGTAATGAGTACATTTCTTATCAAGCATGGTTGCCTCCTCCTTTGTTTTCCCTTCCCATCCCTTCCCATCTCCCCCCCCCCACCTCGCCAAAGTTGTAAAGTTTGTTTTTCAACATAATGACTTGTACATCTCATTGTTGCAAAGGGTCCACCTGTATCCCTATTTAAACAATTTGTTTTTGCCCTTCCCCTCCACAAATTATGCCAACATCAAATACAATGAAAGCAGGGATTATACCGTGGAGGAGGGACATACAAAGCAACAAAGAAATCATCTTATAAATATGTTAGAAACAATCACATGAAAGAAAACACATTTGAATACTTGTTTTAACTACATCTTTGTGCCTTTTTGTAGCTTTTCACCAAAATCTTCTTCTGAGTTTTTCTAAAGCACCATGCTCCTTTAAGACTTAACTCTGATGTCCTGAATTTGTGAAGTATTCCTATATGCTTCACCTGAATCCACAGCTACTACTTCTCTACTTCAATATCATAATATGCTTGCCTGTATTACTGCAATATTTTCAGTTAATAGATCATTTTCAGTAAATCTGAGCTCTGAGCTCTTCAAGGACAATGTATTTCCAGCATTTAATCTCTGTTCCAGAAGTGTCATGAGGTACTCAATGAATGTCTGTGGAATGATGAAAGATTCATTTGAAAAATGAAGATTATTAATAAAATTCTCTTGTGCTTTTAATTTTGCCATTTACAATTGAGGATGAATTTTCTAATTAATATAGCTGGTATACTGCATTTATGTTCTCAAAATAGAGCAATTATCCAGTACAGCAACCACCAGTTGCATGTGATTATTGAGTACTCAAAGTGTGTCTGGAAATGTAACAGAAAAATACATACTAAATTTTAAAGAATACAAACATGTGAAATATTTCAAGTTTATATGTTTGACTACAGGATGAAATATTTTTGCACATCTGGGGTTAAATAAATTTTACTATTAAAATTAATGTACCAGATTTATTTTACTGTCCTTACTATGGCTCAGAGTCGACTTAAAATTACACATGTGGTTCACATTATATTCTCACTGGACAGTGATTTTTATACAAAAATAAAATGAAAACTGCAACACCAGATTGCTGATGTTAATAATGCTAGTCTGAAGTGAAAAAGAGTGTACTTTGCTTAGTGAGGTTGGAGAGAGATTTAATTTATAGCTGGGGATTAGCATGCCTGTATAGCTGGGATTTGACTTTTGGCCAGTAGGTTTATGATGTATGTTGAAGGTCAAACTCCCCTGGGTAAACTTCCACGCACTGACTGGATAGACTGAATTAGTCACTTAATGGTGTGTCACTGGGAGTTTCTACAGGAGCTCCTCAGAAGCCAGAGACTGGTGGTGGGAGCTGAAGACAACACAATCCCACCCAAGGGGTGATACTGTCTTGAATTTTCTTTCTTCTACCTATAAGTGAAAGCCTTATTTAAGTATGTGTATCCAGTAAGTCTTTTCATAGGCATCCTTTTATTTTTATGCTTCAGATCTTAGAAGTACACAAACATAATTCTTCATGCTTCATCTTATTTTAAATTGGCTTGCACTTAGGCAAATTTTTCATTTTTTTCAGTGACCCTTAATCTAATGCCTACCACAATTATTCCCACCTAAATAACAAACACTTATCTGTCATAGGAAAGAAATGGCCAAAAGACAAAAGCAGAACTTACCATCTATTTACCAAAAAAATATACAGAATCCATAGACAATCATAATAAATGACTTGAGAGAGTCAATGAACAAAGGGGAATTTAAGTAAATTTTCACATTCGAAAAACATGACAGCCGGTTGCCAGTGGCTCACATCTGCAATCCTAGCTACTCAGGAATCTGAGATCTGAGGATCACGGTTCAAAGCCAGCCCTGGTAGAAAAGTCCATGAGACTCATTTCCAATAAACCACCAGAAAACCGGAAGTGGTGCTGTGGCTCAAGTGGTAGAGCACTCTCCTTGAGCTGAAGAGCTGAGGGACAGAGCCCAGGCTGAGTTCAAGCCCCAGTGGTTAGGATTAGAGATATGAGCCACTAGTGGCCAGCAACTGTTATAATATTGTTGAGGAGTAAAGGAGATGTTTGCTTAGTAAGTATAAAGGGATGTTAGATTTTTAAAAAAGCTTTATATTGGTAAATAATTTTTTTCGGTCCTGGAGCCTGAACTCTGGGACTTGGCGCTGTCCCTCAGCTCTTCAGTTCAAGGAGAGCCCTCTACCATTTGAACCACAGAGCCACTTCTGGTTTTCTGGTGGTTAATTGAAGGTAAGAGTCTCATGGACTTTTTGTGCCTGGGCTGCCTTTGAACCGAGATCCTCTGATATCAGCCTCCTGAGTAGCTAGTATTATAGGCCTGAGTCACTGGCGCCTGGCTTCACTTCTGGCTTTTTGATGATTAGTTGGAGATATGAATCTCATGGACTTTCCTGCTTGACTTGGCTTCAAACTGTGATCCTCAGCTCTCAGTCCCCTGAGTAGCTAGGATTGTAGGCACCAATTACTAGTGCCCAGTTACATTCCTTATGTTACTTATTTATTCATTAAAACTACAGAGGCAAATCTAAATGCAAACCTAAACAGAACAGTCTCTAGTCTCTGACAATTTAGATACATTTGCAATGGAAGATTCTTACCATGTGGAGTGATTGTCTGCACAGGCTTGGTAGGTGACCTCACATTCCATATGGTCAAAGTGCCATCTGAATGACTACAAATAAACTGCTTTCCTTCATGGTGCCAAGCCACAGAGTGAATAGCCTACAGAAGAAGGGGAAAGATTCCATCACTACACTACTCAATTGTTTAATTATTAATTGTTAAATGTGGTATTTCCTAAGCTAAAGTCAGCATTAACTTTACATTCTATCATCTAAAGGAGATTTTATTCCATAATGACACTATTTTAAATCTTTTTAACTATCTGTCTCCTTAAGCCAATACAAGGACAGAACAATGATATGTCACACTGACAAGTTCAGGAAAACAAAATGCATTCTTACAGATTTTTTCATAGTAAATCATACCTAAATATAAACCACCAGGCTATTACAGCCAATATCCCATTGGGAACAAAAAAATTAGATGCACTGACAGATAAGAAAAACAGAAAATTGTTACACTTCTGAGCTAACTGAAGAAAAACAATCTGAAAAATACTTTTTAAAAATATGATTAGAGCTGAGCGCCAGTGGCTCACACCTGTAATCCTAGCTACTCAGGAGGCTGAGATCTGAGCATCACAATTCAAAGCCAGCCTGGGCAGGAAAGTCCGTGAGACTCTTATCTCCAGTAAAACACCAGAATACCAGAAGTGGTGCTGTGGCTCAAGCAGTAGAGCACTCGCCTTGAGCTGAAGAGCACAGGAATAGCGCCCAAGCCAGAGTTCAAGCCACACAACCAACAAAAAAAAATTATATATATATAATATGTATATTATATATATACATATATATATATAGAGAGAGAGAGAGAGAGAGAGAGAGAGAGAGAGAGAGAGATTGAGAGAGATTGAGAGAGATTAGAAAAGCCGGAAGTGGAGCTGTGGCTCAAGTGATAGGGCACTAGCCTTGAGCTGAAGAACAGTGCCCAGGCCCAAGTTTCAGCCCCCACAACTGACAAAATACAAATACAAATAAAAATAAATAAAAATATGATTAACATGTATTATCCTTTTATTTTTTCTCTAATATTTTCTGTCTTTCAAATTTCATGTTTATAAATCACTATTCCTATTGGGTACTATGGTTCCACTGTAATCCTAGATACTAAGAAGGCTGTCATGGGGAAGATGGCTGTCAGTGGACAGCTCGGGCAGAAGAGTTCACCAAACTCCATTTCTAAGTTGACCAGCAAAAAGCAGGACTAGAGGCATGGCTCAAATAGTAAAAGTGCCAGTCAATAAAGCAAGCCTCAGTACTGTAAAAGCAAATCTCAGTACTGTAAAAGAAAAAAAAGAAAAACCAGGCGTTGATGGCTCATGCTTATAATCCAGACTACTCAGGAAGCTGAGATCTGGAGGATCATGGCTCAAAGCCAGCCCAGGCAGAAAGTCTGTAAGATTCTTATCTCCAACAAACCACTCAGAAAAAGCTGGCTCAAGTAGTAGGCACTAGCCCTGAGCAAAAATAAGTTTAGGGACAGTGCCCAGGCCCTTAGTTCAAGCCCAAGCAAAAAAAATAAAAATAGAAAATAATAAAGGAAAAAAAAAGCACTATGTTTTTGAATTACTACTTTTTAAGCCACATTGATGCTTTTCATTGCTAACAGTTACCTGACTTGAAAAGAGGCTGTGCTATTGAACTACAACAGCTGCAGAACACAGCACACAAACTATGCAACTAAAAGTCTCAAGAGCGCTCTAGAAGGGCTGGAGGTGTGGCTCAACTGGGAGAGCAGCAGCCGAGTAAATGTGAAGGTCTAAGTTTAAACTCCAATACCATAAAAGGAAAAAAAATTTATATAAAGTTCTATACACAAAGTCAACATTTTCTATCAGTCCACTCAATGTCTAGTTATTTGGGTTGTATATTTATACATTTAAGCTAAATGTTATAAAACATTTGATATGAAGCAGACAAAAACTTTCAAATGATGATGGGCACAGCAAATTAGGTGGACCTCAGAATTCCAGTATTTAACATAATGCTTTCAAAGTATAACTGAAACAGCATCTTAAAAATAATAAACTGACTAGCAATGTACATATGACACCAAAAATACAACCTAATAACAAATAATCCTTTAGTATCCCTTATAGGTGAGCTTGTTTCCACAAAATATGAAAAGAGATAAGCTACAAACAGATGATTTCTTTAGTCTTGAGAAGGAAGCCAAAATTTACATGACCAAAGTGAGAATCATAAAACTCACTAATAAAATGTGTCACTAATCATAGGCAAGGAGAGTTAAAAGCAAAACTCAAAAATATAAAGATAGGAAATATAAAATAGAAAACAAATTTGGTTTCAGAAATTTTATGTTGGTTGGAATATTTGTTTTTCTAAATATAGAATACAAAATATTCAGGCAATTGAGGTTATTTGATTAAAAAAATTTGAAAACTTCCAACAAAAAAAAAATTTTTGAAAAAAAAATTTGAAAACTGTTAGATGACAGTCAGTCATACCTGAAATGCTAGCTACTCAGAATGCTGAATGTGGCAGGATTATAGTTTAAAGCCAGGTTGGGCAGAAAAGTTTCTAAGACCCTAGTTCAAAATTAACCAGCAAACACAGGTGAATGAATGAATCTGTAATTCGTCATTATAGATGAATGAAATGAAATGAATGAATGAAAACATATAGAAAAGAGAAATAAAAAGGTAGAATGGACGGAAAACAAAAGAAATACAGTGAGAGAAAGTAAGTTTTGGAAGAACAAAATGAATTCAGAATACAGAAAAAAATTTAAAGAGCGGGGGAGAGACAATGGTAGAGCTACTGGCATAATCCTCACAGAAATAGTATATACATAATCCTAAAATTTCCTTAAAAGATGCAATGCCGACAAATGTTGTGATTATGAAAGAATTTATTAGGGAGTTAATAGGTTAAGAGTCTGACATTAGTGAAAAATTTCTGACATTAGTGAAAATTGGTGACAAAGGTGGAAACAACTTAAAATCAAAAGTACACACACACACACATTTCTTGGTTCTGAGAACTAAACTCAGAACTCATGTGCAAATGTTTTACCACTTGATTCATACATTCAGTCCTTTCTGTGCTTTTTTAGTTTGTTTTACAGATAGGTTCTCATACTTTTTCTTGAGCTGGCCTCAAGAAAATGCATCTTGGCTTACATGAGTGTCAACTAAGTCTGGCATGGATGATAAATTTCTAAAAAATAACAGCAGCTTTATGTTTCTTTAAAAGTAGTACATTTAATGATGTTGTGCTATTCTTATGAAAGAGGGCATATTAGAGAATAATTTTCTAGAAACCCAAAACATACTAGCTATTGAGCTGCTTTATGTAAGCTGAATATGTTCTATGTATTACTAGAATTCTTTTGCAGGAAAAGCTCTACAGAGCCTTACCTCAGCTACTCTTATGTTACATATACTGAGTAACAATTTTAGAATTTTAGAATTGTAACCAAAATCATTCTCACCTATATAATTTGGTATTCTACTTTAGAAATTACCATTATTACTTTCAGCCCTTAGAAAAATGACAATAAAATAATGAAAGATGATTATAATATACTTTTTCACTTGTAATATTTGCAAATAAATGGAAAGGAAATACTAAAAACACTGTAGATTATTCTCAGCTTATCAAGTAAAGTACATACATAGCACTAAGTGAATTATTTTTCGTACATATGAGTAACATATTAAATTACACAGCTTCTGGGGCTGGGAAGGTGGCTCAGTGGTAGAGCGCTTGCCTTGCATGCCTGAGGCCCTGGGTTCGATTCCTCAGCACCACATAAGCAAAAAGAAAAAGCTGGAAGTGGCGCTGTGGCTCAAGTGGTAGAGTGCTGGCCTTGAGCTAAAGAGCTGAGGGACACCCCCAAGCCCAAAAATCAAGCCCCACGACCGGACCCAAAAACAAAACATAAATTACACAGCTTCTGCCTTAGCATTTTTATTTGTGAGCTTTTCAATATTAGTTCCACTATAGAAGGAAGACGATATTATTGTTGCATACTGAATAAGGAAAATTCTTGAATTATATATTTTGTAAAGTAATTGATAACAATGACTATATATTGGACATTTCAATGATTTGCTGTTGTTCCCCTCTATCTCTAAAATTTTTAAGGTTTAAGCTGAAAACATGATTATTTCCATTAAAAATAAAACCCAAATGGAAATTTTACAGATATTTTAGAAATCAATCTTTTTTCAAATATGCTTTTCTTTTCAGGGAAGGAAAAGAATTAAAATTGGCAGAAAATAATATTATCTTAAAAGCATGAGTCTAAATACAGAAGAAAAAAATACAGAAGAAAGAGATTTAAAAGAGTGTTCCCATTAATACTTAAGCAGCTATTGCTTATAATACTATAATACTGTAAGCTACAAACACATTATTTTACCATTTTTTTTAACAGCCTAAAGATCCTTTATTTGCAGGAGGGGCTTCACTTCTGTGTGTGTGAGAGAAAGAAAGAGAGGGAGAAGGGAGAAGGAGGGAGAGAGAGTAGAGTCTGTGCTTCATTTGGTTCTTTTGGTCACAGTTTTAACCATTTGTTTTTTTAAAACATCTTGAAGTACAAATATACAGAGGTAGTAAAATACAAACTATTTTAAATGCATATTTAGCCAGAAATATTTTTCAACCTTCTCAGTCTACTGGAAAAAACAAGATGAAATTAGGGTAAGTATTTATGGTCTTCAAATATCAGTAATATTTTATTTCTTTTCTGCCATCAGTGATTACTACAAGAAAATAGATGTTTTAATACTAGTTATGGGCTGAAAGGAACAGATTATCTACTAGTAAGATAAAAAAATTGAAATATATTTTCTACATATAAAATATCATGTAAAATATAAAAAACAGTATCCAACTACACTCAAAGATTGTCATTTATTTTTTTGACATAACCAAGGAAGAGCAGTTTGCCAGCTGGACAAGTACAATAGTTGTAAAGTTATGCCAATTATTTCCAACCTATAATATTATAGAATTGCTCAATATATATATGTGTGTGTGTGTATATATATATATATATATATATATATTTGTTGTTGTTGTTGTTGTTGGTCATGGGGCTTGAACTCTGGTCCTGAGCACTGTCCTTCAGCTCTTCAGCTCAAGGCTAGCTCTCTACCAATTGAGCTACAGCGCCACTTCCGGTTTTCTGGTGGTTTATTGGAGATAAGAGTTTCATGGACTTTCCTGCCCGGGGTGACTTTGAACCTCAATCCTCAGATCTCAGCCTCCTGAGTAGTTAGGATTACAGGCGTGAGCCACCAGCACCTGGCTTCAAAGTATTTCTTTTAGCATAAGCTTTTATACTTTCCAGGAATTTGACAACTTATGATTCATTTATTTCTTTTAAAATGTTGAATTTACTGGCATTAAGTGTTACCTACAGTCATGCACTAATGCATCAAGAAGTCTATCATCATCCAGTTTCTTCACTGACTTCAGTGACTACAGTGTGCTTGCGCAAGCCAAGACAGTTACGACAGAATCAGCTTACAAGACCCATCACTGCATTTCCTCTTTAGTTCCTCTCTATTTCTGTAGCAAACAGTGATAACTTCTTTTTCATGGCTGCCATCATTAATTTATGTCCTTGCTTTTCTTACCACTTTGACTGTAGGTTTATGAATTTTAATGATCATCACAAAATCCAACTTATTTTCTTAATTTTCTTTACCGTTATCTATTTTGTAAGCTTTGCTCTTTATTTCAGTTCAACAGCTTATTCTGAATTTAATTTCCTCTATCTTCTAGTTTTTTGTGGTATATGCTGGAGCCACTGATTTGCAATTTTTCTTGTTTTCTAATACAAGCATTCAATGCTATAGTGGACCCTTTAGTGGCAACCCACATACCTAAATGTAATATTTTTCTAGTTCAAAGTAGTTTCTATGTTCTCTGTGTTTCTTCTTTGACCTTTAGAAGTATGTGTTTCACTTTTTGGAGTACTTCAAAAATTTTCTATCTCTTCTTTACTAATTGATATCTAATTTAATTCTAACACAGTAAAATAACCTATTTAAATACTTTTAAAGTTGCTGAGATTAACTCAGGCACTGAATATGAACTGTCCCATGAGACTTCCATGTATAGTTATACTGCTGTTGAGTAACAACTTTGATACATACTACTGATATAAGCCTTTCAGCTATTTTTGATTAGTGCTAATATTAATTTTTCTATCTTTTCCACCATAGCTTTATCTTTAAAAGTGGATTTCTTATAGACAGATAGTATCTACTGAGGATATGTAATTTATAAATATGATGGTTGATATAATGACATTTAAATTGTTCTGTTTTGGTCCCTACTTCTTCAATCTATTGATGATGGCTTTTTCTTCTGCTGCTTTGCTTTGGGTATTTAAAAAAAAAATCTTTCCACTTTTGCTTCATCTTTTGGAATTGCTGCTATTGTTACTTTAGGACTTGCACTGCAGTCTTCATCTTAATATATTTTGCCTTCACATATTATTATAGTGAGTCACACCAGTATGATAATCTTATAACAGTATTCTCTTTTGCCGTTTAGGCAATTGCACATATTTTAATTCTATATATTACAAGCTTTCATTATTTTATTACTTGAATAACAATCTCTTACAGAGACTCAAAAAACCAGAAAGGTTTTATATAGTCCCACATTATTATCATTTCTGATAACTTTGATCAGGATTACTATGCTTATATTGCTGTAATTAATGCATCTTCTATTTGAGTTACCAAATTCTCTCAATGTGGAAGCATATTTTATCTTAAACGAATAGGTAAAACAATTTATATGCTTCCTAGCAACAATTTCTGTTATAACTGGAAAATAAAAACCTTACTACTGTCTAAAATTATCATTTCTAGATTCCATTTAACATTGAAAGAAGCCATAGTTCCATGACAAACTATCTTATTCTAAGTTTGATTGAGAATATACACAATTAGTAGGTATCTTATATCACATAACAATAAAGCTATTCAAAGCTGTCCTTTGAATGACTCAGGAGTTGACTTAGAGGAGGTTCACCAATGGGAGATTAGACAATGTTAAAGTAAGGAAGCAACTTTAGTGGACTAATGTATATCAAGTGTGGTTAAATCATTGAGTACCCAGTAAAACTAAAATTAAGAATAAATTGTTTACCTCAGAAACTACTAGTGAATAATCTGAAGTGAATGCACTTGAGTATCCTGTATCTGATTTTCAGATTCTGGAATACCTGTATAGGTTTTTCCCATGGAACATTCTTAATCCCAAAATAAAAAATAATCCCAAACCTTTAGAATAGTTACCAAAGTTTCAGATTTCAGAGCTTTTTCAATTTCAAATTTTCAGATTACTGTACTGAAAGAATCAAGCATTTGTCCTGCTTTTGTTTCTGAACTGCATTACTGAATAGCCAAAGTACAAACACAAAGCATATAATAGGAAGTTTCCCTTCACTAAAGTGTCCCAGATACAGACAAGGAGTGATAAAATATATTCTGCAACTACTATGCTTAAAAGATCAGGTCTTGAGCACCACTGGCTGCCAGTGTCAGTAACGGCTGAAAAAAGGTTCCTTTTGTTAGAAGAGTATAAGCAGCATCTTGAAGTAGTATTCTTATAAATGAAAAATGAACCTTTATCTCATTGAGCCTTGGTGGACTATCCAATTTATAGACAATCTGAGGAAGAAAGATACTAGAGACAGAAATATTCAGCATCTAAGAGACCCTGTCTTCAATAAATATGTAACCAAAAAGGAGTAAGGCAAGGCAGGGAAGCAAGGAGTAAGGAAAAGGCTTCAGATTAAGATTTACTGATCAGAGATTTTATTTAGCTCTTAAAGTAAGCAACTATAAATATCTACAGAATACTCTCAGTTCTATAAAAGAGAAAATATATTTATATATATTTATATTTATATATATGCACAGAATCTCTGTGCATATATATAAATATATATATTTATATATATAAATTTAAATATATAAATATATATATTTATAAAATATATATATATTTATAAAATATATATATCTTTATATATATATAAATATATATATGTGCATATATATAAATATATATATTTATATATATTTATATTTATATATATGCACAGAATCTCTCAGGAAAAACAGAGTCTGGAAACCTAACACTTATAAGGAAATTAGATGAACAAATGTGAGGGATCAGAGAGGACTATGACTATATTAATGGGAGCAAAAACACTGAAAATATTTTAGTGCAATTACAAAACCTATGTAACTAAGTTAAAAGCAACCCTAAACTCAACTAAACCTAAACTGAAATTGAAAATTAAGTTCTTAGAGAATGTACTTTGAGGGCTAGGAACGTGGCTCAGTGGTAGAGCACTTGCCTTGCATGCATGAGGCCCTGGGTTCGATTCCTCAGCACCACATAAGCACTAAGAAAAAAGCTGGAAATGGCGCTGTGGCTCCAGTGGTAGAGCGCTAGCTAGCCTTGAGCTAAAGAGCTGAGGGACAGCGCCCAGGCTCAGAGTTCAGGCTCCATGACCGGACCCCCCCCCCAAAAAAAAGAAAAAGAAAAAGAGAATGTACTTTGAATTAGAGAAATGACAAGAACTTTTATTAGCTCTTACCTCATCATATGTATATCTGTAGTCTGCTTTCTTTGATTTGAGGTCCCATAAGACTACTGTTCCAGATTCAAAGCCAATCAAAAGCTGTAATAAAAGAAAAGTGCACATTACCTAGGAATAATATAACTATTATACAAAATGTGTACTTGATAACAATAACTCTAACTCTTATTCCTATGCTTTAAGCATAAAATTATAACTAATTTTATAGATGAAAAATGGTAGCATTTCATTGCATACTTACATGCCTTTGATATTCAGGGACTCAAAATATAATTGATATTTAAAAACTAAAATAGTACTATTTTGAAGGCCTAAATGTTGGGAGCCTAAGGCAAGAAAACCTTGACTTGGGCACCAGCCAAGGCTATGCAGTGAGACCCTGTCTCAAAAAAGCAAGAGCTAAAGAATTCAGTGGTAGAACCCCTGTGTAACATGCAGAAGGTCCTAAATTTAATCCTCAGCACTTGAGGTTTGTTTTTTTTTTTAAAAAAAGCAGCATCAGTGGGTACTGTATATGGATACAGCTGTCTACAGTATCAATAATCAATTTGTATTAGAGAAAAAATATCACAAATGTCTACAGTATCAATAATCAATTTGTATTAGAGAAAAAATATCACAAATGTCTACAGTATCAATAATCAATTTGTATTAGAGAAAAAATATCACAAATGTCTACAGTATCAATAATCAATTTGTATTAGAGAAAAAATATCACAATGGTAAAATGAAAGAAGTCAGTGTGCATAGTACATATCCAACATGTGAAAGACAGAATATCTAATTTGTCATTGGTAAAATTGGGAGTTCTAATTAAAAATCTGTTGAAAAATTTAAACAGACAAGGAAAATACCTATATAACATGGAGTATTAAACTGTAAAGAAAAATGAAATTATGTCATTTACAGTAAAGCAGATGAAACTGAATATCATGTTGAGCAAGATATGCCAAACGAATTATCTCAATGTTTTCATTTAGTTGTGGAATAAACACACACACACACACACACAATGAATATAACTGTGGGAGTGTTTATGGAAACAAAAGGAAGAAAGAAGAAATAGAATGTTGGAAGGTAAATAATATCAAAAACATGGTGTATATGTATGAAGATGGCATAGAGAACCTATTGAAAACTACTGAACAAGGAGTTAGGGGAAACCAATTGTTCTCTGTGTAAAACTACGTGTAATAAAAATCTTAAATAGAGACTTGTATTACTACATTAGCACAGGGCTTGATGCATAAATTCACTAAATGGTAATTATTACTATTTTAAGCCATTTTCTACTAATGTCCAATCTTTCTTAGCTAGGACATTTGCTTCATGTAGGGATAGGCACACATGAGGTTAGCTTTGAAGGACATGTTCTCTTACCTTGTATCATATTCATACTTTTTCCCTAAATAAATGTTGCACATATGAGAAAAGTGTCAAACCATCCACCAAAGTTACAGTGAAAAATGTCAGAGATCTTTGGAAATACTTTTCTATAAGAAATTGATGACTAGAAAATATATTTAACATCATAATATTTCAAAAATGTTTCAATGAGAATAACTCATAGAACTGAGTATATAAAGCTAGGTTAAAAAACGAGGATGACAGAGTTATACATAATTTATTCATTACATAAATCAAGTATATGCTGAATAATACTATTTTAGTAGTACATTGGATACTATGGAACATACAGACTTGCATAAAAGCTATCTCTGTGCTAAGAGTCAAGTTCAGAGAAACTGAGATATGTACACACTTCTCAAAAAGGCAATGAACAAAAAAAATGCAAGACAAAACTTGCATGACTAAAGTACTAATGAATGAAAAAGTGAGAGAAAATACTTTCTGTCAGGAATGCGAGGAAAGACATACAGAACTTTTTAATCTGGAGTAGTACATGTGCTGAGAGACACTGGTGAGAAAGAACTGCAAATGCAAAGAAGCAAAAAATAATACAAACTGAGAAACAACTATTTGCGTCAGCATACCACTTGGTTAAAGTAGTTCTCAAAGATAAGGACACACAGCTACATCCTAAGAAAATTTCATTTAAGCTGTGAGATGGTGAAGACCAATAGGAAAGTTCTCATGAAGGCAACTTTTAAGATTGAAATGACAAGTGATTAAAGATTAAGATTGAAATCTAGAAGTGTCTGGATGTAGGAGCCCTACAGCCCTATGGGGACTGTGATGGAAGAGATCTGACTGTGAATCAGGCCAAAGAAGATCTGATTAGTGTTTGGATACCAGTGGAAAACCCCGATTGTGTGTTTGAGTGTTTGGCCTTCTGCAGTCGTCAGGTCAGAAGACAGGAAAAGTCTCTGTGTTTACTTATCTCTGTGATTCTTGGCATCCTGGCTCTGTCACTGAAACTGCCTACTTAAGTACTTCCTGATTTCTTGTTATCTACCTCTTGGTAAGTGCCCAGAGCTCCCTTAAGGGAGCCCAGGGACAATCTGAGGCTACAAAAATAGAGGTTGGTGAGACATCTTCTGGGTTTAATCATGTCTACTGATTAACCCATGGTGGTGATGATTATTAATTTTAATAATAAAACTATTAAATATGAGATATAACTGCAGAGGCATTTCTTCATCCGTTGCTCAGGAATCTGCTGGTTGGAACCAGCACTTGAACTATGGTGGTCATTAGGAGGCTGACCAGAGAAAGGATAGTCGCTGGCAGGATGTATAGAAATGTCTTGGTAAGCAATCCCAAGTGGGAGGGATGTTTTCATTCTCTCACCATGCCTTCTAGGAAAGAAAATGCAATGGGAATTCAGGTAAATGTATATATGCTTTATATAAAGTTGCTTTCAAGTCACATAGCTTCATGGTTATAAGTTAACTGCAAACAGCCCAGTGATCCTATTCTTTTCCAAGTGCCAACAAAGTATTAAATAATTTATAAGGTTGACCTCTCCCACTAATTGAAATGAAAACTTCAGATAAATCCCTTTACAAAATGAAGTATTGCTTCACTGATTTCTGTCAGCAATAAGCTTTCGAGTACTTATTTTGATTAACATCATAATATTGCACAGGTAAGAAATATATCATTAGTAGAACTCCCTGAACAGCTTGAATTAGCACATGAAAGATTCACAAGAAATACAATTCATGATTTTAAACGTACTACTAAGCTTAAGCTAACAATAGCTAGATATTGGAGATGAAATGGTTTCACAACACAAAAAACTGATGTATATTTGAAAAAATCTTTAGGATCAGGCATGATGGCACACAGTATTCCCAACTACCTGAGAAGTGGAGATAAAGGATACCTGTGAATCTGAGATGAGCTGAGGCAAAGTTAGCATGAGACCCTTATCTGAGAAGCAAACTGAATGTAAACGGACTGAAGTGGGCTCACGTGGGAGAATGCCTGCTTAAACCCCAGCACCACTGAAACAAACAAAACTTTCACTTTATTAACTAGGATTACTTATAAAGAAAACTCAAGAAAGATGAAATACAGTGGTAACTCTCACATATGCTAACATTATTAAACATTGCTTACATAAATAAAATTAGAGGAAATAGTCTGAATAAGCTAAATCCTGACTAATAACTTATCACTATATTTATTAAAGTTTACTTATGCTTCTAGCATATTTTGTCCCTCCAATTACAAATCATTCTAATCTCTTCACTTGTTCTTTATAAGGAATAACAAGTCAACAAGTATATATGGTTGATATGCCAACTTTATTAGAAATTTCAGCTTTTTGTCTCAGGGATAGTCCTAGGATTGTTTGAACATTAAATATGAAATTATTATGCATTTAAGTAACAAATATTTATTTAGAAAAAAATTTCTACCTTCCCTTCATCCATTGGATTATCACTTATATGAACAACAGGTCCCGGGTGGGATTTAGATGACCTGAAAAAAAGAAATCATTAAGATTTTCTTTCTTTAAATTTTCAATACAGGTACACATTCACTACAGTAAAAATAATTTATAACAGAAGAAACTATTTCAGTAAATAGTCATTTGCAGACATAGTTCTTAATATACATCAACATAGTAACTGGAAAAAAATCTATTTTTTATGTAGGAAAGATTCTTCAATGTAATCAGCACAGCAAATCTATTTTCACTGTAAAATTCTTAAAGTTAATATCTTTAAATAATTCAGCGTTTAAGATATCAGCATCTTACTTTACTAGCCTTCAATTGGGATATCTCACTCAACTATACAGTTCATAATTCTTAATTCACTTTCTTAAAAATTAGGAATGAGTTTACCTTTGCAGGGAAAAAGAGTCACAGATAAGAACATTGCTGAAATAATATCTATATAGTAGCAAATACACATACTACTGTTCATAGTCTGTGCAGGCTAAAAGCAACAGCCTGACCCACTAGATGTTGTGGTCAACTCAGAAGCAAACTGAAAACCTACATTACCTAGGGACTAATAGATATGGTAATAACATCCCCACCACAAGAAGGAAAATACTACTACAGCTATACCAATACACACATAAGAGAGTTCACAAAATTATTCTGTCAAAAGATGTGAAAACTGGAATAAAACAGAAAACTACTTGTTTAAAAATAAAAGTTAATATTTTAAAAGATCCTTGCCAATATCTTTAAACTTTCATTTTTATGCTTCAAGAACAGAACAAAAACTTCCAGAGCTGAGAGCTACTGGCTCATCCTTGTAATCCTAGATATTCAAGAAGCTGAGATCTAAGGATTACAGTTTGAAGCCAGCCCAGGCAAGAAAGTCCTTGAGACATTTATCTCCTATTAATCACCAAAAAACTGGAAGGAGAGCTGAAGTACTCCCCGTTTTGAGCAAAAGAACTAAGTGTCAGTGTCCAAGCCCCCAATTCAAGCCTTAGTACTGGCACCAAACAACAACAAACAAAATCAAAAGAAAGAAAGAAACAAACAAACAAAAAAACCCTTGCAGAAAGAGGTAAGGTATCAAAACATTTTAAGAAAGAGTGAAAAGTTAGCACTATAGATCCTTAGGATTTCATTTTTTGTTAATATGGTTTAAAAAATAACATTGTATCAAAATTAAATAAAATTAGTTTTAAAATTAATTCTGTAACATTTTAATTTTAGCAAATATATATTTACATATACATAATTTGTTAATTATTAAAACACACCAAAGAGTGTAGTGTATAACAGTGCATATCTATAATTACAGCACTCAACAGGCTGACAGGTTTATAACTTTGAGTGTAGCTTGAGATTTACAGCAATGCACCCTATCTCAACAAAACTAAACAAACAAACCAAAAATTTAAAGGGTAGCTTTAGCTCAGTGTTTTCTAAACACTAGTGTAGACCCATTGTGGATCATATCCAACATTTAAAAGAAAGATAATTGGGAGATAAAGAAATAGAAAAAAAACTGAGCATTTCTTTACCTAACAAGAAGAAACTTAAGTTTTGTTTGGCATACTTATCTGTATATATGAATAGAAAGCACGTAAATTTATAAAATACCATAACAGAACAATGATTACAAAAGACCAACTATGAGTTTAATATTAACAATGTCTGATACATATTAATTCCATCTGATTTACCAGTAGACTGTTATGTAATGTTATCACCAGATAAAGACTGTTACTTTCATAAATGAAAATTTGCTCACACTCACAGTTCAATGGCTTTATTCCACATAATGACATAACCCGAGAGTGTAAAGGACTCCACGTTGACGATGTGAATATTACCTCGTTCAGTGCCCACATAGAGCCACTTACTCTGGAAAGGCAGATGGCAAAAGGTAACCCTGTGAGAAAAAGGACATCCCAAAAGGAAGTTAGAAAAATGCCTTGTAAATTTTAATCACTGCATCAGAGGGGAAATCAGAATAAAAGTAATTAAGGAAAGTCAAAAATCATATAGAACCATTAGATTTATATATCCAATGTGATTTAACATTTAATTATGCTAATTCAACTTAAAAGTCAAATTGACGGCCTCACAATAAACAGTGTGGTAGGATCGAAAGAGGATGAGTTCTGAAGTTAGAAAACATTTCAAATCTGGATATGTCACCTACTGTGTAAACATGAGCACATCACAAATATAACTTTTAGCCATAGCTATTACTCAGATTATGCTTGGTGAAAGCACACAAATAACACACAACAATAATAATGTGATTTGCTTTTCCCATTAACACACAAGTAATTATACAGAATTTTCAAGATGAAAATACCATGAAGTAAACACATATGTAACTTATACTCTCATTCTTTTAAACAGAGAATTACTTAAGTTTTATACATTTTTTTGGGGGGGGGTCCGGTTGTGGGGCCTGCACTCTGGGCCTGGGTACTGTCCCTCAGCTCTTCAGCTCAAGGCTAGCGTGCTAACACTTGAGCCACAACGCCACTTCTGGCTGTTTTCTTTATGCTTATGTGGTGCTGAGGAATGGAACCCAGGGCCTCATGCATGCAAGGCAAGCCCTCTACCACTGAGCCACCTTCCCAGCAGTTTTATACATTTATATTTTGAATGTTTTATATAATTACAAATACCTTCTACAGGATTATACAAATTTATTATGATCGGATTAGTTCAACGGGAAATGTATTACTGTATTTATGTTCTAAGCACTGTCCCTCAGCTCTTCAGCTCAAGGCTAACACTCTACCATTTGAGCTACAGCACTACTTCTGATTTTCTGGTGGTTTATTCAAGAGTTTCACAGACTTTCCTGCCTGGGCTGGCTTTGAACCGTGATCTTCAGATCTCAGCCTCCTGAGTAGCTAGGATTACAGGTGTGAGCCACCAATGCCTGGCTTCAACTGTTGATTATTAAAAGCTAAGACTCCTACTTCCTAGATGCTGGGGTAACTAAGACTGAGAATGAGATTAGATTCACACTAATTGGATGTGCTAGAGATTTGTTAAATGCAATCAACACTGTCTTTCTGCTCCTTTTTGTTTTTACTGACAAGGATGTTCATCAAGGTGTAAGTAGTAAAAGAAATGCATGGCAACAGTGGAGACATAGAGTTATTTATTCTCAGGTTGCTCCTGGGCCTCTCAGGTGATAAGAGGTAGTAAAGCAGCATTTCCTACTTCCTCGATTCCAGACATGGGATATAAGTCTAGCATTTTCCCAAACATTTTGTAAACATCCAGGTCTTTGTATTAAATACCTTTATGCTAATTACGCCTACACTGGTTTCTGTTCCTGTATCTGAACATTTACAGAGCAAAAAAGTACATTTAATTCATGATGTAACTAAATTATGGTTTTTAGTGACCATTAACTACCATCTTGAAATGAATCTTGTTAAAGTATTTACTTAATGATTTAAAGCTAAAAAAGGCTGAGAATTTTTCTTGTGATTGTACAGAAAGCTCTTTTCTCTACACTCTTTCTGCACTATACACTGTACCCTAAATATGTCACAAAGCTTTGAGATTTTATTCTTTAGAACATGATAGATAAACTTTCACTGTTGTTTGTCAGTGTTTCAGTCAGGTCTTACAGGCTTTTAAACACTTTCAGTGATGCATCCTTTTCTATTTAATCATTAAAATTTCACACAGACAATTTCATTATATTCATATCATACTTTCTATTGTTTGTCAATGGCTGTTTGCCATTTCATCTTCCCTAGACAATGACATCTATATCGATCCAGAATTTATCACAATATTTGTATGGACAATAATCTTGTTCAAGAAGTAGAAGAACAGTATATATTCTTTGGTATACACTTAAATTAACCATACAGTTTATTGACTTGTTACAAATAAAAATTTACATCTGCATTAATGAGCATAAAAAATATATTAAAGACAACACCATCAAGTTGAAACAACTTATAAATATGCTAAAATGATTTCCATTTTATGTGTAGCACCAAATAGCTTTTCTGATAATCTGTCACAATAACTTTAAAACAATCTTCACCCTATCAATAACTCAGAAGCATTAAAGTAAATATTTTACAAACTAAGCTTTAGAGATCCTTAAAAGCTTTATACTTATAAAATAATAGTTTCACATTTGTATTAAGTTCATGCTATTCTTTATTGATATGTACACATCAATATTTTTAATTGTTTAAAAATTTTAGATATTATAGGAAAGCCACAACATTACTCTTTCTCATGAAACAAAACAATGTTGGCCTTGTACCTATGGATCACTCCTGTAATCTAAGCTACTCAGAAGGCTGAGATCTGAGAATCATGGTTTGAATTCAGCCTGGGCAGACAAATGTGAGAGACTCTTGTCTCCAACTAATCAGAAAAACGTTAGAAGAGGTGTGGCTTAAATGACAGCGCCCCAGGCTTGAGTGAAAAAGCCAGGCGAGAGCATGAGGCCCTGACATCAAGCTCTAGTACTGGCACAATAAAAACAAAGAAACAAAAAAGTCCCAAACAACAAAACAGAAAATCCTAATGTAACATAAACTACTATCAAAGTAACAAAACATCAACAAGTGAAAACACTGAATATCAAACAGGAGTATAATATAGAAATAATAAATAACTTCTGAAGAAATTGTCCCTTTTTCATATTGCATTTCAGAAAACTCTTTTGTTAACGGCCTTAGGGAATGAAAACTCCGTGAGCTGTATTACACAACAGACGATGGGGTAAGCTGAAGCTACATGGTACTCATCAGTAGAATTCATTTGCATTTTTCCATGAAAAGCGTTATCCTTTATCCACTTTTCTATTATCCATGCTTTACTGAATTTTATTGAATAGACGTACTCAATACCTTATGGCCTATTGGCATTTTTTTTTATCAAAAATGTTTCTCATTTGTGCCCATGTACACAAAGACACATAGAACCACATTTGTGCATTTAAATAAACTTTCCATGTTAAATGAAAGTCTTCTTGTTTCCTCTTTTCCCAAGAATATGCTCTATGAGTCTTACTAAGAACTGGAATATGTTTCCATATCATTCCTTCACGTTTATAAAATGCACAAATTAACACATGAGAAACTGTAGATGAAGAAACAAAGATTATATAATTTATTCTGAATCTTGTGTCCCTATCTTCAGCACCTGGTTGAGTAGTATCTCTTAACTTTATGGTTAAGTTTGCTGTATTGAAATTAATTTCCTTTATCAGTTTGCACCCTGCACATGCTAATTACACATTCCTTGTCACTATTTTTCATTTTCATTCTTCTATGGGGCTTTTACCATAGGTTGTTAAATGATGAACGGTTTTAGTTATGCTGTAGCTCTCAGTCCTCATTTAGCTAAGAGTTGTCTTTTAGCAGCTGCACCCTCTGGTTTGTCATCTATCAAGGGTGTGTCTTTCTTCACAGATGTGCACATCACATACAGTGCTATAGTCTGTTTGTCTTCCCTTAGCATTTACTATTATCACTAATTTCTGCAGCTTCATAAAACTTTTTGACATCCAATAAAACAAGTGCCAAAATCTTACATTCTTTTCAAAGTTATCTTATTTAGATTAGGCCTTTCTATATGTCATATAAATTTTAGAAACATGAAGAACTTGTTAAAGTTTCTGACTGGAATACTATTCAATTTATAGATTAATCTATAGAGAAGTAACCTTTTAAATTTTTACTATTCTTTCCTAGAAAGTACTAATTGCTTTAACATTCTTACACTGTTCAATAAAACTTTTTATCGTATTTTTTCCACATAAATATATTTATTCTTCTGTATGATATGCCTTTTTCTCTTTTTCTTCCTATTTATTTCTAACTTCATGAAAATATATTTTAGGGATATTACTATAAATGGCATAATAGCTATATTTTGTTGAGTATCTTCTGAAAACTCTCAAAGTAAAGTAAAGAAATGTGGCACACTTTACATAGTTTACCAATGTGCTTTTTCCATTTGTTGAGCACCTTTATTCCTATCGCTTGGTCTCCTTTCCTGATCATTACTGATCTTTCTTTTCCATTCTTCTCTTCCCATACAGTAATGGTTTGGTTTCATATTTTATGTTCTTTTAGATATTGTTATACTTCTTTATTTTATACATGTTAGCATTATAGCATTCATTTCAAATGAGCATTTGAAGGCAGAAATATCAAATGTTATATTTTTTGAATTCTTTCACAGATTACAATAGCATGACAATGAATGACAATCATGAATGTAACTGCAAAGTTCCTTTTTAATTCTATTAAATTATGTCATTTGCTGGGTGCTGGTGGCTTCGCACCTGTAATCCTAGCTACTCAAAAGGCTTAGATCTAGAACTCTGGGTTCAAAGCCAGCCCAGGCAGGAAAGTCCACAAGACTATTATCTTCAAATAACCAGCAAAAATCCAAAAGCGGAGCGCTATAACCTTGAGCAATAGAGTTCAGGGATAGCATAGGCTTTGAGTCCAAGTCCCAGTACAACACACGCACACACACACACACACACTCTTTCTCTCTCCCCCCAAGATTAGCCTGGTCAATGTCAAGACTTCTTGGCTCTGCAAAATTGTCTTCAGTTTTGTTTTTAATCATTTCTTTAATCACTACTTTTCCCTCCATTGTTCTGTTTTCTTCACCCAAAATATGCTGGCATCCATCCAGAAGAAATCACTTTTCCTTCTTTTCTACCACTACCTTTCTCATCATATTCATTCTCTTGCCCCAAAGTGCTTGTTTTAATTAAATAAATTTTAAGCTTAATCAGCAGAGTCAAAAATCAAAAAGTAAGGTAGGTACCCAAAGCTCATGCCTGCGATCCTAGCTACTTAGAAGGCTGTGAATGGGAGGATCATGTTTCAAGACCAGTTCAGACTGAATATTCTGCAAGTCTCA